TTCTGAGCAGAGGAGGCACACGGTCTAACTTAGGATAAAAGGTCTGTTCTGGCTGTGGTGTTGGGAACAGGCTGCAGGTGACAAGACTGGACACAGGAAACCAGTTGAATAGCGATGCTGGACCCAGGTGAGATATGATGATAGCTTACATCAGGACAGCAGTCGCGTGAGGTGGTTAAAAGGGCCCAGATTCTGGATCTGAATTTGGAAACCAGGGAGACTGACATCAAAGTCCAGGGTCTGCCACAATTTGATGACCCTGGTAAGCCTCCCCCCAGCTTGGGCTGTGACCCTGAAGGGCTGTACCCTACAAGTAGGGGTGAAATAAAAGCAAACTAGCTCTAAGCTTCAGGTCATCTGGGCAACCTGGTAAATTTCAAGCTCTAAACTTGAAATAAGGTGATCCTAGAATGCTGATTTGCCCCAGGTGCCTGGAGAAAGGGATTTTTAAAAAATCATCCTAGGCCTAAAATTATTTTTATAAATATTTTTCCAAACACAGTAAATATTTTAGCACATAGTTGAAGATAACTAGATTTCATGAAAGGAAAAGACACCATGAATGGGAACAAGCAGAAATGAATCTCAAGGACTCCAGACATGGGAATTATCAGACACTGACTATAATATAATCCTGCTTCCTGTGTTCAAGGAGATAAAAAGCCATGCCTGAAAATTCTGCAAGGAGACTGGAAACCAGACAAAGCAACTGTGTCAGTCATGTCCTGTCCTGAACACCATGGCATACTCTAGGTGGTTAGAGGGGAGTTTAACTAAGGGATGCTTTTATTTTTATTTTCATCTTTTTTCTGAGACAGGTTCTCACTCTGTCACCCAGGCTGGAGTGCAGTTGCATGATCTCGGCTCACTGCAACCTCTGACTCCCAGATTCAAGCCATTCTCATGCCTCAGCCTCTTGAGTAGCTGGGATTACAGGCATGAGCCACCAGTCCCAGCTAATTTTTGTAGTTTTAGTAGAGACAAGTTTTACCATGTTGGCCAGGCTGGTCTCAAACTCCTGACCTCAGGTGATCTGCTTGCCTTGGCCTCCCAAAATGCTGGGATTACAGGCATGAGCCACTGAGCCTGACCAGATGCTTTTAACAGAATGAGAAGAGTATAGGAAAACTATAAGAGATACTCTAGAGCTAGTACCCTGCACTAAGTAACAGTGGTATGCTATTACTATCCCAAGGCCTGAAAGGGCAAGGAGAGGAAGTGGTTACTGGAACTAAGAAGAGTGAACCTAGGTGTAGAGTACCACCTGATGGAAATTATGATGTTCACTGAGGGGCACAATCAACCTGGATGACCACTCAGGATGGAAGCTGGGCAAATATACACCAAAACTTCATCCTTCTTCTTCCTTCCAATCTACTGCAGGTACTCCTCACAGGCCGAAATCAATTAGAAGCTGAAAATAAGGAGCCATCAAAACAGGTCAACCTCCCAGCACACAGAAAAGGGCGAACAAGTAGCTATTCTGGAGGGACAAATAGAAGGCACGTGGCACAGTGAAGTCACATATTTGAAAAAGACCCAAACACAAATTCTGAAACTGGAAAATGTAATGATTAAAAAAAAAGAAAGAAAATGTCATGATTAAATTAATGATTCGGTGGTCAGGTTTAAGAGCAGATTCAACACAGTCCAAGAGAGAATTAGTGAACTAGAAAATAGGTCACAAGAAACTATGTAAAATGAACAGAGAATAAAGCAAAATGAGAGAAGAGAGAGAACAGGGCAAAGTTAACATCCACAAATAGGTAGTTGGTAATTTTCCAGGACATTGAAAAACATCAATCCACAGATTCCATAAGTCCAATGAACCTCAAGTCTACATTCATACTCATTATAGTGACCCTGCAGAGACAGAGAGGAGTTAAGGATGACGGTAAGGACAGTAGGCAAATGGAAGTTAATGGAGTTGCCCTCGACTGAGATGAGGAGACTGAGAGTAGGGCAAATTTGGGAAATTTGAGGAATTGTCCGCCTGGCCCCTGCAAGCCCTTGTGTTTGAGCTCCCTAGTCCCTGGATCTCTTCTACTGCTTCCAGATCCATTCCCCACTCCCACTGACTTGGGCCTCCTCCCCAACTCTTGTCAGGAGATTGTAGCAACCTCCTCCGTGGCCTCCCACTCCAGTCCATTCTCCACATTGGCTGTCAGCGTTATGCTTCTAAAAATTGCAAATGGTTGGTGGTGTGATATGGCCTCATTGTGGGTAACGTACTTTCCTACTCCTCTGGTTTCTATAAGGAAGGATTTCCCCTCAATACGCTGGGTTCCCCTCCAACCGGACCAGGTAAGATGGGTGAATTCTGAGTGGTGAGTGCAGGACTGGAGTCTGAGACTGTGATGCTCAGCAGTTCCTTTCTTCTTCCTTTTAAGAGAAGACCACCCTTAGGGAGCTGCATTTTGCTCTCCCCTCCCCAAGAAAGCCTGTGTTTTTCCTTCGCTTTTTGTGCCTCCTGCCTGGGTCTTTCTGCCAAATTCTAAGGTTCACCATTAGGAAGCCCTCTGTAGATAGAAATCACATTTGTTCAGAGCATTGGCAGAAAAGAGAAACTATGTATTGGGTTCCCCAAAATCCCCAAACCAAAATATTGCAATACATCCTATGTTAAAATGCTTCAGGGCCCCTAGCTGCCTACCAAAGAAAGTTCACATTTTTAACACAGTCCTCGAAGTCTTTCCCATCCAGCCCCCACCTATCTACCTCTCCAGGCTGCATTCATTCTATTCTCTCTCCCACCACCTATGATATTTGAATCTTACCCGGTATATAGCCAGTCCCTTGAAGACTACTTATAAAAGATGGAGTCTTTTTCCAGCATTATGGAGAGGTCCAGGTGAGAAGGACTGAAGCCTCCAGCCAACAGCCACCTGAGTAAGCATCTGTCCTCCAACTTCAATCACCTGCAGAGCCTGTAGCCTTGACCACGCCAGAACCACCCAGCTAAGCTGCTCTTGGATTCTTGATCCACAGACATGGGGCATAATAAATGTATGCCATGATTTAAGTCCATCCCCCAAATTTTATGTGTAGGAAACTTAATCTCCTAACTCATGTCAACGGTGTTTGGAGGTGGGGCCTTTGGAAAGTAATTAGGACTAGATAAGGCTATCAGGGTGGAGTCCCCATGATAGTACTGGTGGCCTAAAGAAGAAGAAGAGGTCAAACATGGTAGCTCATGCCTGTAATCCCAGCACTTCAGGAGGCCAGGGCAGGTGAATCACCTGACGTTGCTAGTTTGAGACCAGCCTGGCCAACATGGTGAAACCCCGTCTCTACTAAAAAAAAAAAAAAAAAAGAAGACGGCGAAGAGGGGCCTGAGCTGACGTGCTCATGCCTGCTCACCATACGATGCCCTTCACCATGTTACGACACAGGAGAAAGGTCCCCACAAGAGGCAGCCCCACTGCTCTGCCCTTCCCAGCCCCTAGAACTGTAAGAAATATATCTCTTTTCCTTATAAATTCCCCAGTCTGTGGTATTCTGTATAGCAAGAGAAAATGGACTAAGACCATGTGTATTATTTTAAAGTTTTAAATTTGGGGTAATTAATTTTATTATTATTATTTGTTTTTTGTTTTTTGAGATGGAGTCTTGCTCTATCGCCCAGGCTGGAGTGCAGTGGCGTAATCTCGGCTCACTGCAAACTCTGCCTCCCAGTGATTCTCCTGCCCTGCCCTCCTGAGTAGCTGGGATTATAGGTATGCACCACCACACCTGGCTAATTTTTGTATTTTTAGTATAAATGGGGTTTCACCATGTTGGTCAGGACTGGTCTTGAACTCCCGACCTCATGATCTGCCCGCCTTGGCCTCCCAAAGTGTTGAGATTACAAGCGTGAGCCACTGTACCCGGCCAATTTTGGGTGATTTTTTTTGCAGCAATAGATAACTAATGTACCCAGTCTACTTCTCTCCCCTTGACTAACTTTTTCTTTAGGTCTCAGCTCAGACTCTTCCTCCAACTGGAAGCTTTCCCTGACTCTGTCCAAGACACCTGATGGGTGAGCCCCCCAATTCCTCTCCATGTTCTCTGGCAACACTGCCCAGGCTTTTCTTTAGGGAACCACTCTTCTTCCCTCTGAGTCTGTGTGTATAAGATGAGGCTGACTCCACCCCAGGCTTGAAGCCTGGCTGCCAGCCTATGCCTGGCCAGTCAGCGCTCTCCAATCCCCTGGAGCCAATGTTTAGGCTGTGACCTAAGCTAGACCCTTGGGGGTCAGCCCAAGAGCCTTTGAAGGAGGTAAGGAGAAGAGATCATCTTTATCTGCTGGCATTGCTGAATGGGAAAATATCAGCCTGGAGCTACAGACACATTTTGCCAGCATGAGGTGAAGCCTGCCTCAAGACGAAGCCAGAGGAAAAGAGAAGGACCTGGGGACAGGAAGAGACAGATTCCTGATGCAATTGTTGAAGCACCTGGATTCAACTGTGCCTGAAACCCAAATCTACCTCTGGACTTTCGGACTTTAATTTTTTCCCTCCCCTCCCCTCCCCTCCCCTCCCCCT